ATAATGAAACTATACATCAGTCCTTGTTGGTGTACTTCACCAATTTCTGTAACGATCTTTCTATTCTTCATAATGCTTCCTTTTTTCCTGTTTTACCTCCCCCCCCCTCTCTCGCTCTTTCCATCTCTCTAAAGTATATCTAGATCTTATCATCGTTTTACTCTATTCCTCTATATACGTAGGAAAGAAAATTTTAAAATACGCCAAGTTGAGTTATACAATTGTTATTATTTGTATTTCTTATATATCAGAATAGTATTGATCGGATTAAGCGTAATATTATATAAAATAACATTGTACAAGTAAGATAACAATGATAGTTAATCGAATAATTATTCTAGATTTATATGAGTTAATGATATTTTGATCTTGACAAATCCATTTTGCATCTCATTTATGGCTGTGTAAAAATTTTTATGTAACATTAGTCATGCTCTACGTTTGTCGACTGCATTTGATATTCATAACGCGCGTAGTTACAGACAATTATTGCTCTTATGAAACAATTCTATGAATGAAATATATAAAAGTAGGCATATCCTTCACAATCTTACTTTTATATGCAGACTACTTTTCTGAAAATATTAATATTAATTAAATATGAATTTTATTTTTTTATTAATGCTAATCTGACGAACATAGCGAATAAATAACGGTGATAAACAGAAATTAGTACTTTTTACTACTTCCAATTTATGATTACTAAAGCAACTAATGCAAACCATATTATATTCAATGAATATTGCAAATTTATTAATATTTTATTTCTATTAATTTATGTATGGTTGAGTACGATACTGAATTATAATGAAATTTAGTAATTATAATAATAATAAATTAGTATTAAGTTACAATGAAGTTTATAAAAGAATACGATAATACACCCTTTTCTCTTTCCATGATTTTCCAATTTTTTAATTAAAGCGTTTTTGAATTTGTAAAGTTAAATACAGAAAGTGTACTTGAGATACATAGTTTACCAGTCATACATTGTACACAAATAAAAGATTACTCGATTTAATTCCGAAATGAGTATTTAAAAACTTATTTTTCATATAAATTATTTTAACATTCATCGATTGCAAGAGTAAGGTTTACATTTATAAATTCACACATACATTTGAAAAAATAAGTACCAACTGCCAATGCTTGGTCCCTTTTCTCTCATAAATTCTATACATATATTAACAAAATTCAATATTGTGTAAGTAAATTCTGTGTTGTATGTAAAAAAGGACCCGTTTCACTTGCTTGTATTGTAAGTCATATCTTCGTATTTCGTATTATTTTATATTTCAGATTCAATTCTCATCATTATGAGTTATTCTACTTCCATTTTTTTTCTATTAGCCACACATACGTATAAGCATTTCATGTAAATGCGTTTTTTTTAATATTTCATAAAATTTAATTATTTACAATTTTCTACATTTTACTTTAAACAATTATATTTTATTTTTAACTTAATTTATATTTCGTCACATGACAGCATTAATTTATATAGCATTAATCTGAAAATTATGTTAATTATAAATTTGCAGAACTCTGAGATTAATTTGACATAAAGTTAATAACTATAAATCTTTGATATTTTGCTTTTGTAATAAAAAATACTATTCTGTTATTATATTTAGACTAGAACTATAACAATCCTACATGATTATTAATTTATTACCTTTATTATAACTTATTCAATTATTCTTATTACTTTAGTTATATAAATTTTCCGTTATTATATCTATTAATAATTTTTTAACATAATAAAGTGTATACAGTAGAGGCACAATTTTTAATTAAATAATTAAAATTGTAAATATTCAAACGTTTCTTTTATACTCATTCATAATGTAGAATACATCATTTTAATGAATAACAATATTAATTTTAAAATAAATCGTTATATTCATATTTGAATAGAGAATAGACTGCTATTCTCTATATTTTATATTTTCAAATCAGTCATTCTTTTTTTGATATGAAATATTAATTAAAGTTAAAAAAGGATTTTCTAACAAATTTATTTACAATTGTATAATACTATAATCGATAAATGAGAGTTGAAGTATATTTCTGTACTAAGCAGAGTTCACAAAACTATATATAATATTCAAATATTCAAATTATTAAAAATGAATATGCATGTTCTAAAAGAACAAAAAAAAATTCTATAATGTTACTATAATACATACTTATAGTGTAACTATAATGTTGATACATTTATTTCTTCTAAAATAAAAAGAGTTGATTCTATCAAAATGTTACAAATATGAAACGGGTTTTCTTTATTAATTGAATTTTGATATCTAATATCTATATATCCCTCGGGTTTTAGTCAGCCCGTGTATTTGTATCGAATAATATATTAAAATAATCAGATTAAAATTAGCAATTATCGATTTATACGTATAGGATCTTGGAATTTACCAGAATTTTGTTGAAAAATTTTAAATGATGTAAATGCCAATACACTATTTAATATTTGGTTATAATTGTCTTTCAACAAGGATAATTATAGAAATATATCAATGTCATGTACATAAACCTTGTGAACATACTCGAAGCGATTTAATAGAAGAAATTTAAATGAAGCGTGAACAGTGAATCTATGTTTTTAAGTACTATCACGACTCTAATTCCATATAAAATTGTGAATTTTTTAAAGTATTACATTTTGAAATTTTTATATGGTTATACATTTATACCATAAATCATTGAATACGTACAATTCATAACGTTGCATACGGTTTTATTAAGTTCAAGATATATATATTTAACAATAAATATATGTTAAAATATGAAAAACGTGCATAATAAACCATAAGAGTTACAAAAGAGTCTTTCAACATACTATTTGTATCCTAAGTATTTGTACAGACAGTTTGTATAAGTTAGTTATAAAATATAGTTTTTATTCTAAAATATCTTATTAAAGGAAAAGCAATTTATATTACAGACAATTATTAAAAATGTATGAGAATAATATTGAGATGAAGAAACTTTATCGTCTAAGTTTGAATTTATAATATTGGATCTTTAATGAAAAATTGATGAAAACAAGTCATAAGTTAAGAAAAGTTTAACAATTTTCATTCAATTAAGGTAACTAATGTGAAGTTGCATATAGAGGTTATTTTCGCCTTTATGCGTGTATAGAAACGAGGATTATTGTATTGGTAGTGTCCCTGAACTGCCTCTGAAAATTGTGCGCAATCCATTGCGCAGCTTTCGTGTGCAGCAGCGGTGATGGCGGCGACAACAGTGGCAACTATGCTCGGACAACTACTAGTTACAATTCAAAAAATAGAGAACACTCAGGGATATACAAAATCTTTGTTATTAATAAATCTTTGCTTTTATATTAAGAGTTAGACAAATTCATTCTTTATATTTTGATAAAAATATAAACTCTTTATACAATACTATGTATTATAAATATAAGAATTATATGTCACTGACAAATTACCTGCAATTCTCAGCTCTTGCGTATTTGTGAATTGTTTTTGTTATGATTTCTAATAATCTAGTTATTAATTCATTTAATATACCTTAAAGGTACATAGATTTATCTGCGAAGTGTGAATATTATTCAAATATTGAATTATAGAAAACAATATATATACTTATAAAAAACTTTTTATACGTAGTTAAAAAACCATTATTATAAGCTAAAGTTCTTTTTTAACTTAAATTATAGTATAGCTCATACATTTAATGTTAAATTAGTAATTACAAACAAATATATAAAATAAATCAATATTTATATGTTACAAGTACCAAATTTTGTAAATGATTATTTAAAAGATATACTGTATCGAATTAAGCAAGTATTATTTACTATTAATGAAAAACATTATTTTTTTACTACACAAATTTAATATTTAATTATATATTTAAAATTAATTTCATGACAAAAAATATTTGTTAACGTTAATTAGTATAGAATATATTAACACTCAGTGTGTGTCTTGAACGCAAGAGAAGATGTGTATGAGGCGTATGTATGATTCATTTTTATAACTGAAAATATTTAAATATTGCAATAAATAATAAGCCAAGTTGATAGAAGGCAGTATGAATTGTACTTATATACTTCGATGAAGAGAAAACGAAATTTGATGAATATGACAAAAAAATGTGTAACGATTTCATATCAATGCATAATTTAATATTTATGTAAATAAGAGGCACCTATGCCTTAGGGATAGTCGAAAGAAAGGGAGCAATGTTCAGTTAATCAAATTTAACGAGACGAATCAAATGTTCGATAGTCTAAATACAACATTCTGTAGAATATCTAAATCCTCCCACTACATATCTTCAGATAAGGGAGCTTACAATTAAATATGTTAATCTATAAAAATTCATACTGATATAATAAACTATAATACGATTTATGAATAAATAAACAACAAATTTCTTTAAATTTAATTAATAATTCTAATATATTGCAAAGATAACATGAATGATTATTATAATATGTGAGATGCGAATAATATGCACTCTATGCGAGATTAAGACATATACACCAATAGCTTTTTTTAACATTGATTAGTGATTATTTTATGAATACTTCTGGGATCTTTATAACTATATTAAGAACAAAAAAAAAATTACTATTTAGCTACCATTGCGTCAGGTGTATTTGAGAAATTGCTTTTTCTACTCTTCGTGATTTTCATAGTTTTATCAACCTTCTATCTCTGCAACACGTCATATCTTATTTTCAATATCAAAGTAAAGTATCAGTTTGTTAAACATTTCTACGTTTTTACAATTTAAAATGACTCAGTTAAGGTGACTGTATAGCTCTGCGATAATATTGTTGACATTATCAAATTCCTAAGACTATTTATTCGCTATTATTTGCAGCTTAAGAAGCCGAGACAAGTTTGTGGACTTCCAACTCATTGTCAGTAACAATTTAAGGAATCGAGTCTAGTAAGTTATAACATAATAAGCAAAGTATACATTTTTAATTGTAAATATCAAGAGATACTTACGTAATGACGTCAGCTGCGCCGTGAAGAAATTCGAATCGATCGTCGGTGCAAAGAATAATTACCCGGACACGACACGAATAAGCGGGCGATTCACCGCCTCGTCTTCAGTCTCGCATAAAAATCATGTAGACACATGCATATTATAGTTCCACGCGTATCTCCAGAGGTACTCATATAGGATATATTTATCATGTATATGCGTGAGTGTACGTATGTATACGTGAATTTCAGTTGCGAGCTCGATAAGGCATATCTATCTCTTTTTTCTTCGTCACTCTTCTCTATACGACAAATATACTGAGTTTTTCAATATGTTTTTGCTGCTTTCGAAGCTACTATTGTTTTGCGTACACAACAATAGGCGTGTTCTAGCTCTTGCTTTTTTTTCTTTATACGTTTTTCACTGAAACCACTTTTTTCATATATTTGAATTCACTTTTTATTGAGACTTCCTATGCTGCTCACTACACTATCTAGAAATTGATTTATAACATGCTCTCCTTTACCTCTTTTTCTGCCCGACTTTCCATTTATTTACACACATGACGCGCACTGCACCCGCACTCGAGCATCGATCGCATTTACTTCCAACGATTAAAAAACAAAAAAAAACTCGATGTATTTGTTCTGCCTTCTCTGGCACACTGCTACTGCTAATCCATACTTTGCACTTTAAATACGTGTTGATATCTGCATTAAAAATTAAAAAATTATATTACAAATACATTTTTATCAAACAGTCATAATTTATCGATAACAACAAATTATTATATACAAAAGAAGATGAAAATAAATTAAATATTATTTACGATACCAAAGTGTAGGTTTATCGTATATAAAACTTTATACGTTCTTAGGAACGTCAAATATCGCATCGATCAACGGCTTCGATTAATACGTTACGAGTATGCAAAATTTTAAATTATATTCATTGTTTATATCTTTTTTACTCAAGCTAGAGCTGTATGCAATTAAAAGCATCAATATTGATATGCTTAAGTGGAGTGTGGGAGAGCGAAATGGGAAAGAAAGTTACCATCGATGACTAATAATTCGAACGATGATCAATTATAAATATATTAACCAAGCATCGAACTAAAAGTGCATAATATTTCCATTTATGGTAAGTCAATGCTAAATATAAATTGTACATTAATGTATATTATATATTGAATAGTAACATAAATTATATATTGAATTTTAATATTTAACTTCCATCATATTAAATTTCCATGGGACTAAAAATTTTACTAGACACAGTTTTCATCAGATCCATTCAAAATTAATAATAAGCATTTGCATACTACTTATATGTAAAAATTTACTTATTACATACATACATGCTTTATAAACATATGAAATAGTCATAAAATCAATGGACACTTAACTATTTAAATAATAAAAAACATTTTTACAGTAAACTTGCGTACATATACTTTTGTGTTCAGTTAACTCGCGCATCTTTGATCTTTAACAATTGTAGTTATATATACAAGATGACATTTGATACAATTTTTAATAATTTTGAATTTTTAAGATATCGGTAATGAAATGATATAGAAAATGCATCGAAGTTGTATCGATCAGAATATGGATCAATATATATTCATGTAGAGTAATCGACTGTGCTCTCGCTTTATGGAACCAGAAATTTTAAACACATGCATTAATGATTATTCAGTCATGAAAATATCTTCACTAAACGATAATTGTATACTGGTACTTCAAAATATCAAATCATTGTAAAAAATTAAAAAGCTGTATGTAGATAGGAAGCTTATTGTCCATTTTATGACATCTGACACCGATGTAATTGCAATGACTAGAGTCAGATATTTCAAACTAAAATGATCCAGACGATTCACATAAAAATGACGCTACCAATTTGTCCCATTATATTTTCGCTAATACTTCTTAGGAATAACGAATGCTTCTTGGATCGGTCATATTATTTACTTATTAATAATTTTTCAGCTATTACTTATTTAAGATACAATAAGATCAATTTAATCCTATATGAAAGCTTAGAGTTTGAAAAAATAATTCAATTATAAATTAAATATTCAATTCTAACCTTTTATTATTTTGATATTTACATAGATTCATTTGATATTAACAAAGAAAACTAATTAAAACATAATAAATTTACTTAAATACCGTTGAAATATAACTACTGCTACTTCACTCTTAAGAACCATATTTGGTAAAACAATAAATTCAAGCATCTGGGTTTTTACTGAAATTGAGATAGTATAAGTAAAATTTGTAAAATTTCAAATAAAAAGTGTAAAATCATATCAGATAATGAAAAAAGTTTTTATAACAATTTTATAAACATTTTAGAATTCTAGAAGGAAATATATATAAAATATATCCAATTTTCGGCAAGTAATGTGTAAATTATTCTCGTATTGAACATTCCACTTTAGATTCATGTAATATAATGTTGATTAAATTCCTAAAACGTTGATAGATATTTGAAATATTGAGCTTTTTAGCTTGATCAATAAGTATTACAATTTCAAAATGGAACAAAAATCTTGATATAAAAAATAGGCGAAAAACGAAAGGGAAGGTAGAAAATTAGAAATTTTTTTTCTAAAAAAGTGAGACAAAAGACTGGTTAATTTTTTTAATCGTCTTGTGTATCGGGGACATTCTCTTCTTATAGTAGAATGATCAGAAAAGGTCAGTGACTCGTTACGGAATCATATATGTATACGGAAACAGATTAATTGCCGCGTAACTTGCGTCAATTTTGTTATTCTGCCAATCTGTCTTCCTTTATCTATACATTTACAAGCTCAACTAGTTTCTTTTCTTTTACCTAAAATAAAAAATGGTTGAAAAAAGCCATTGATATACTAACAACTGTTTGCCGACTAACAACGTCATAGTTAATTGGATATTACTAAAACATTCATTCTTTTATTTATTATAACCAATGCGTATAAATACATTTGCCTTTCTTACGGAATTATATTAGAGTATGTAAAAATAATTGATAGTTTTCATAGTTATAATTTATATTGTTATTGAATCTTACAGACACTTTTGTTGAAGCACTTTGTAATCAATAAAATATTTAACTATAATATACATAAATATTAACTTGCATAATATTAGCAAGTACAAAAAAATTTATTAAAAAATACAAAACATTGAATTTACGTATTTATCATTATTTAAAAAAAAAAAGTTAAAATTGTTTTTTAATTACTACGTAATAGAGAAAATCTTATATAAAAAACTTTATTCCATTTCATTTTTAATTTATATATATTTTTCTATCAACAAATTAACGTTTTAACATAAAATTTTCTGTAATCTGTTATTTAATAAAAACTGAAGTTTAGTTTTTGGAAATAGCTAATTAAAAATTTTAAATGTTTAAAACCATATCTTTTAAAGACTTGATTTTTCATTCTTGAAATATTCATTTGATAGAAGATTTATATTATTTATATTTCGACTATTATATATTAGTAAAGAATTAATGTTATATGAATATCGAGTTTTCTAAGTTCTTAATATCCAGGGGAAGCAAATGTTATAAACGAAAATAACACGTAAAACTGTAACAGACCCCATAAATATGATTGCATAAGACGAAGCACATTATTAATGATGATAATTTTTCGTATTTTTTTGTAGATAGCGGGTGGGAATAAATGTGGTGGCCTCATCCTGCAGAGAAGGAAGAAGACTTTGATAACGTTACTGTCAATATATGTACTGATCTTGTCATTAATTGTATCTCCTCTCTACCTCTCTTTACTTTTATATTGTAAATCACTTAATCCTTTGCATTGTGGTCAGATTTCTGTCACTTTGTATTTTAGCTTTTTTTCCTTTTCTTTACAATGTAATGGAAAAATCAGTCTGGTTCATGCTCATTAGCTCTAACAGTGTCAATCTGTATCATCTGAAAAGAAAAAAACAAAAATTATGATTTATATTATCAAGTTTTGGTCCAAATGATTGTTTATATAATTATTAATTTTCACCGAAAATGAGGTAAATTAAATATTAAATTAAATAAATTTGCCTTTAATAGATTCTCAATGAAATTAATGTTTATACTGTACACTAATACATGTAATTATTATAATAAATTTTCGATAAAAATATTTCAGAATCGTACATAAAAATTATTTTCAAATGTGAAATTAACGTGTCAAAGTGAAATAATTATTATATATATAACGAATAAAAGTTATTAAAATACTATTATGTTTAAAATATATACTATTACTAGAAATTTTTTTGTTTTGTATTTACAACATAATGTCATATTTTATAAGCCAATGCATATTTCATTTACTTTTGTGAAGAATTACATTACTATTTCATATTATTTAAATACATTTTAATGCATATAAAACTATTACAAATGATACGATTATAACCCACTATTTTAAATTAAATATTAATGTCATAGATACAGTTGATTAAAAAGAATTTTCCGTCATTAAATGATGTAAATATGTTCTTAGCTATAAGAAAAAATTAATTTTTGCGAAATTGTGAGAATATTATATTATATTATTGTTTTTTATATAAGTAAACTATGAGAAAAGCTGAATACCTACAAAATGTAGATTTATATTTTATTTTAAAATTATATTGTTTACAAGTTATAATGTAAATATAGGCATAATCATATGTTAGTACAACATCCAATTTCAAATTATTTTTGTTTTGTTTCAGTATTAATTATTTGTTCAAGTTATAAACAAATATTATAAATATTAAAGAAATAAGAATATTAATATAACTTCAAATGTTTGCACAAATAATATCAAATAAGTATAAAATTCACAACAATTTTGTTTTTTACTTTATGTATTTAAATCCGTAAAAATAAAAGCACATATAATTAAATTTATCTTATTATGAATTTGCTAATAATAAATTTAAAGTAGAATGTAAAATTTTTTAATTTTTAATCTCTGTTTATGCAGAACCAATAATATTATTTATAATTATTTAGTTTTCTAATAACTATATAAAATTACAACGTAGTAATACACATTTCAAATAGTATATAGAGAATTTAACAAAAAATTATAAAGTCTCCCTCTGGAATTGAGAAAATATAACTGCTATATAAGAATAATAATTATACACTCTTCCAAAGTATCAATTCCAAAGTAATCAAAGGGTACATTAATTACATTAAGGGAGATGCAACTACGTAAGCCCCAAATATTAATTTAACTCTACCGAAATATGTCAGCCAGAACTTAAACAGGGTTACCGCAATTCTCTGGGCTATTATAAGCGACATGACTCTCATAAGTCTTCGCTCTTTGCATCTCAATTAAACTGGTTGCAAGAAAAAAAAGGGAATTAAAAAGATTCGTCGATTAGTTAGAAATGGAATTTTGCGAAGTCACGTAACATTTTGACAACTCACGATGTTGCAAAAGGCTGATTGATCTGGACGTACTTCAAAAAAAGCGTGAAGGGACATCAGCGTTTTTTAATTACACTGAGAAGTCGAAAAGAAGGACGGAGCGGCTGCCCTGCTCTATACATATGGAGGAAGTACTTTATATTATTTTACATCTATTTTCGAGAGCTATCAAGTCTCGATATTTTAAGCACAGGAATTTAGTAGCTTATTCTTGTAGT